CTCCGCACACACTGCACGAAAGGCTGCACGCCGCACGCACCGAACACCTCGGGTCGCGAACGAACAAGACGACCGCGCGAGGTCCAGCTTCGAGCCAGGCTGACGGCTTGGCGCTAGCAGCAGGTCAGACCGAGACCACGCGCAAGGCCGAGTCTTCTTGTTATTCTTCCTCCTCCGCCTCCTCATCCTCGCATTGCTCTCCTCCTCCTCCACCCACCCACCTCCCCCCCCTTTCCCTCCTTGCGCATGGCTGGCGGCAGCGGAGCACAAGCCAGGGGCGCCCCACAGGATTGCCAAGCAACCCGGCAGGAGAGAGGATGAGCTCGACGCGACCAACGGCGTCACCGACTGCCCGCTGGAGATCGTGGACAAGAAGGCCAGCGCGCTCGCCAAGATCTGGCAGCGCGAGGAGGTGGCCCACGAGAAGCACGCGGCGCCGCTGGCGGAGCTGCGGAACCGAGCGGCAGCCGACGCGCCGCCTCAGCGGAGCGTCGCGGACCTGGACGCCGCCCTCAGGAGAAGGCCCGACAAGGGTAAGGGCGTCGACAGGCTCTACCGCAGCGAAATCCTTCGGCTGCCAAGAGAAGGGCGACCCGCGATCGTGGACCTGTTCAACGAGTGCGAGCTGAAGATGATGTGGTCGTGGCAGCTCCTAAGCTCGCTGATTACGGTCAAGCCGACGCCCGCAAAAGACCGCGCCCTGGCCCGCCCCCTTCAACTTGCGAGACATTGGGAGCCGCTGCACAGGCCAGCGGTCAGAGCGCGGGCAAAGGAGCAGGAGGGCGACCGGGGCGCAGCGGCGACAGGCAACAGCGGCAAGCGCGAGGCAACGAGAAGGATTGTCTCAGACGGGCGCTGCGAGGCGCTCGGCATCTTCCAGGACTGCGCGCTGGCGGACATAGAGCGCTTCTGCGACGGCCTTCGCATAGACACGCTGGCCCCCGAGGCGCTCAAGATGAGCTTCAGCGCGCGCCTTCTCGCGACGCTGCTAATCCAGCACTCGGGCGCGAGCATCCCGAGGTGCAAGAGCGCGCGCTCGGAGGGGCCGACGCCAGCGGACTGGTCGATCCTGGCGGGCTCGAGGCACTCCAACAACGTAGCCATGGCGGTAGCGCGCGCGGTCCTCGGACACATGATCGACGCAGCCACAGTGCCACCCAAGCCGATGCCGAGAGCGCGGCTCGACGACATCAGCATCAAGGTAATCGGGAGCAAGGAGGCGATGGCAGAGCAGCTCGCCATCGCCACCAGAAGCCTCAAGGAGGGGCTCAGGAGGCACGGGCTCGACCTGGTGGACAAGACGCTCATCTTCACCGCGGACTTCAGCATCTCGCAGGCCGAGAGGAGGAAGCTCAACAGGCGAGGAGCGAAGGTCAAAGCAGTCACGGAAGAACGAGACCACGGACGCGATCGAGCTGCCCGAGGCACGACACGGCGACAGACGCATGCGAAGAGGACGAGAGATGCAAGCAAGAGGTTCGGCGCGGCCGGCTACAAGTTCCGAAAGTTGGTGCGCAAGAATGGGAGAGGAGTAGCCCGCCAGGGCCCCGTGACCTCCCTCGCGCACGGGGGCCCACGCACACAGGCTAGCGCCATGGGTGCCGAGGACCGCGAGGAGGAGGCACGCCCAGGCCCCACGCAGGGCCTGGCCTGGCAGTCGCCCCACGACCTCCTTGGCGCTCAGGAGCACGGACCCCGCGATCGCGACGACGAGGAACCACTTGAAGGCGCGGTTCGACCCATGGGCCAAGAGGCAGGGCCTGTGGGTGCAGGCGCGCAAGGCGCGGCCGAAGATCTACTTTCGGCTTCAGAAGACACGGCAGCACGGGAGATGGCAGCAGCGCAGAGGCGTCGTGGGCATCATCATGTTGCTTTGGGAGCTCGGCTGGGACTGGAAAGGCCTTGGCATCTGGTTGGGCACTGACGGCAACCAGTGGAAGTTGCCAGAGAGCGAGGAGGACGGCGACCCCGCGGACATCATAGACGCGCTGCTGACGGACCTGCAGAGGCAGCTGCGGGAGCAAGCGGTGCAGCACTACAACGGCAAGGGCACAGAGGCAGGCGTGGACACCACGGACATTGTCAGACACTTGGGGTCCCTCAGGAAGCGGGGGAAGTACCAGGCCAACGGCTCGCCCCTGGCAGCCGCCTGCGCAGGGACGTGGACCAAGGGGCGCAAGCGCCAGGAGTTCGAAGGATGCGACCTTCTCTGCGAGCGCGACCAGAAGGAAGACGAATTCCACCGCATCTGGGACAACTGCACGGCGAAGAAGATCCAAGACTCCTTGGGCAAGACGAAGGGGCTCGCAACGAGTTCGCCAGCGGGGAGCTGCATTACTGGACGGACAGCGAGGTCACCTGCACCGGCTGGGACGCGAGGCGTGAGGAAGATCGCGACAAGGCTGGCGCCAACTGCGACCTCTGGCGCAGAGTGAGGAAGGCATTGGAGCAACGAGGATGAGGCAGAAGCCCAAGGGATGCCAAGTGAGGCCTGGGCAGGCAACAAGATGGCCGAACGCCTCGCAGACGCAGGCGCGCAGCAGCTCGCCATTCCCGAGAACCAGGTGAGCTGCTACGAGCGGGCGAGGGCGACGGCCAAAATGGTGAGAGCAAGGATCTCGGCCTGCACGCTGGTCGCCACGGAAAGAAGGCCGACAGAGCACCGAGACCTGAAAGCAGCGAGGAGGTGGGAAGTACGAGCACGGCGAGCACAAAGAAAGCTGAAGGCGGACTTCTTGAGCAGCGACGAGAAGAAGGCCGCCCACAACGCACAACCCGGTGAGACCGAGGCGAGGACTAGGATGGAGATACAGGTGTTGCAACCAGTCGGTCTCCGCGGCGACGGCGTCCACCAGCATGCAGGAGTGGTTCGGCCAGCAGCGCGGGGGACCACCACCAGAGGCGGGGACCGGCATCGTGTTTACCGGCGTCGAGTCGTACCCGTCACACCCGCTGCGCTGGTTGGGAAGGCAAAGAAGGCGGTTCTGCACGCTATGCGCCAGCTTGGCGACCGAGCTGGTGTCGGGCAAACTGCAGAAACAATGCAGGAAGGAGCTGACCTGTGACTCCAAGATGTACCAGCTGAAGACCTGGACGAAACTCGCGGACGCTGAGGACTGGCAGAAGCTGAAGAAAGAAGGAGGCACCACGGACATGACGGCCAACGGGAAGGACGAGCAGCTCGAGCAGCACGAGGACGAGGAGAAAACCATGCAGCTCACGACCGACGAGAAGATCACCATGCTGCTCCAAGCGTCCCAAGCCAGCACGGCAGAGGCAGAAGCGGTTGCAGAGGCAGCGGCGCAGCGACACGCCCCAGAGCCGAAGCCGGTGACCGAGGAGGAGGCGCGACAGCTCCTGCAGGCGGAGCGCGAGCTCGCCAGGGCTCCCGGCAGCAGAAGACCAACAACGAGCAGAGCCAACTCCGAGCACAAGCAGATCGCGATGCACGAGCTCAGGAGACTGCTGGACGAGGTGCCGCCGCAGCCGCCTGCGAGGAGGGCGAGGTCACAGGGCCCTGCTGGCCCGCGGCCGCCGCCGCGCCCAGAGGCGAGCGGCCACCCCTCCGCCTCCGCCGCCGCGCCCCGCACGCTCTGAGTGGGCGTGGCGCAGAGAGCGGAGGGCGGCTAGGCGGCCGTCCACGACGACAGGAAAAGCCCACGAAAGGCTCCCCGTCCTCTCCGCCTCCTCCTCCTCTTCCTCCTCCTCCTCCTCCTCCTCCTCCTCCTCCTCCTCCTTCTCCTCCTCCTCGTCCTCGTCCTCTTCCTCCTCCTCCTCCTCCTCCTCCTCCTCTCTCCTCCTCCTCCTCCTCCTCCTCCCTCCTCCTCCTCCTCCTCCTCCTCCTCCTCCTCCTCCTCCTCCTTCTCCTCCCCCCCCATCGCAGGATGATGATGATGATGATGATGATGATGATGATGATGATGATGATGATGATGATGATGATGATGATGATGATGATGATGATGATGATGATGATGATGATGATGATGATGATGATGATGATGATGATGATGATGATGATGATGATGATGATGATGATGATGATGATGATGATGATGATGATGAGGAGGAGGAGGAGGAGGAGGAGGAGGAGGAGGAGGAGGAGAAGGATTAGAAGGATTAAAAGGATCAGAAGGATTAGAAGGATTAGAAGAAGGAGGAGGAGGAGGAGGAGAAGGATTAGAGGGCAGAACAGCAGCACGAGGAAGGGTTGGTGTGAGAAGCGAGAAAGGCGACGCGGTCGAGGGAAGGTGCTGGTGACTGTCGGGCCCACTTTTTCTACAGCCCCGCACGATCAGATAGCAATAATCGTCCCAGATCAGTTGCCCTGATCAGGGAAGAGCAGAATCATGGAGTGGAACAACTAAGGGGGGCAGCTGTCAAATCGAAGCTCGGGATCAGCCTGAATAGACCAAGGAGTTAACTAGAAAGACCGCCGCGGATCGTTCAATCTGAAAACCTCTTAGATGCTCATGGGGACCGTCATTCGGTGGCGATCTAAGGGCCAATCTGGAGGCTGCAAGAAATCTCTTGGGACCCTCATGGAGGCCGTGTGAGCTGTTCTGGAGGACATCGATCTTATGAACGTGGCGCGACCCCAATTCGGGGAAAAAATCCTGTTACATTGGAAAATTACTTGCCATTTCTTGGAATTGCTTGGAACTGGCACAATAAGAATACGAGGCACCGGGGGCGGGGAACCCCAGGAACCCGGGGAACCCTGGGGAACCCGAGGAACCCGAGGAACCCGTGGAACCAGTGGAACCTGGGGAACCCGAGGAACCCAGCGAACCCGAGGAACCTCCGGGAAACGGGCAGCGTGTAACAATAGGATGCACCGGGGGCGGGGAACCCAGGGAACCCGGAGAACCCGAGGAGTCTGCGGGAACGGGCAAAGTAAGCCCCCGAGGCACCAACCTCTAACCAAAGAAGAACCCCTTGGGCAAGCCTGATTGGGGAGAAATTGTGGCTTCAATTACGCCCCCCCCCTTGCCGTCCGTAGCCATTTTAGCTCAAGCCATCTTGGCGCAAGCCGTGACAGCACGAGCGTAATTCCCGTCATTGCTGCCAATGCTCAAGCCAATGGCAAGTAATGAATCGGATGATCCAGAAAAGCCTTTTTTCAAAGATTCCCCCCATGCGTTGGAGGAGCATAATAGTGCCAGCTCGCAGAGGCGGGCCGACATCGATGGGCTGCGTGCTGTGGCGGTGCTTTCTGTCATCGCTTTCCATTTCAATCCGACGTGGCTTCCAGGTGGATTCACCGGGGTCGACATATTCTTCACCATCTCGGGCTATGTCAACACAGCTTCGCTTATTCATGGCGACCTGCCGTTGTGCGATAAAACGTTTGCGTTTTTTGGCAGGCGAATGTGGCGCTTGGCTCCTCCTCTTATGGCGACTGTGCTCACAACCGTGGTCTTCACCAACATTTTCACGCCAACGTATGTTTTAGACTTGAACGGCTACTATACGGCAGGCTTGCTCGGGCTTTTCGGTTTGTCCAACAATTATTTTGCGAGCCTTCAGCTAGATTATTTCGAGCGGGGACATAAGAATCTGGCCCTAAATCCCTTCACTCACTTGTGGTCCCTTGGCGTGGAAGAGCAATTCTATATACTCTTTCCCTTCGTGCTTGGCTGCGCACAGAAGTTGAGCGCAAACAGGTCGCCACTGATCGTGCTTATAGTTTTTTCTGTAATTTCTGCAACGGTTTCTTGCATACTGTCCAACGTTAACACTCAAGTGGCTTTCTATACGTTGCCATCAAGGTTTTGGGAGTTGTCTCTCGGCTCCTGCGCATTTTACATACCAGCATCAATGGATGCACTTTATGGTTGCACCATTGCCACTGGATCGATTAATTATTTGCTGCAGGTTGCAGCTGTGTTGTTGCTTATTGTGTCCCTGGTGTTCACGCCAAGTGATTCGGGCTTTCCTTTCCCGTATGCATCCCTGGCTGTCGGGGGGACGTTTTGCTTCATATTGGCTGGCAGCTCGCCGAGTTCAGTCCCCAACGCATGTTGCAGCCATCGGCTCATGGTGTACATAGGAAGCCTTTCATATTCGCTTTACCTGTGGCATTGGCCAGTGCTGGTCTGGTTCCGCCTGACAGAGTGTCTCGCGTATTCTGGCGCACATTTGATTGCCATGGTGCATGTGCTATCACTTTCAATCGCAACTTACCATGGCATTGAAGTTCCCATGAACAGGAACCGCCCGACGAAACCGTGCAATATGTTCGGCTACGTAGCGCCTGTTCTCGCCATTGTGGCCGCGACTTCCTGGGCGCTGGGCTTCCACTTCGACGGCGCCCTGTATGTGCATGCAACATGTACGCGTGCGCATCTCACCGTGGACACCTTCCAGAATAGCAGCGCCAACACCTCCAACAAGGTCCTTGAGGTGTGCCCTGGCGCAGGTGACTGGCACGAAAGCTCGTTTACGTGGCGCCCCGAACACCCATCTTCTTGTCGCACGGGTTTCGCGTGGCCCAAGGAAGACGGAGAGCAGCGGAACCGAAGCGTGATTTTTATCGGGGATTCTACCATGAGTCGCACTTTTCGCCAGGGTTCAAAAGCATGCAGCACGCAGTGGCACGTCATTCGAAAAGGGTATTGGTGTGGCTTGCCGGAGTACTTAGGAATGGAGCGAGCTCCGATGTGGGTTTCTCCAGCGCCGAATTCATTGATGGGACCAACCGCCCGTGGTCTCGATAATCCCTTCTGCATGGATTGCGTAGGTTGCGCATCTACACGCGGCCAGTGCACGATTGCCGATGTTCCTTTTGATTTGGAATACATTGGAGTGGAATTTACTAAAGATGTAGAGATGCCGACAACCAGATCTAATACCACTATTGGTAGCGTTATCGCTTACATCCACAGTCAGCGCAAATACGTCGATGCTATCTTCATCAACAGCTGCATTCATGATATGTATTTCAAACCTGATGTGTTCACAACTGAACTTTATGTACAGCGTGTGCGTTCCAACTTGCTGTCCCTACAAGGCTCAGCGAAGGTGATCGTATGGGTGTCCTGTAACCACTTCAGGGAGGATGCTGGCCATTCGACCAATGCGCGAGGTCTACGATGGAACGAGGCTGTTCGGAGCATGATCAACGCGGAGCTTCCTAACGTTGCTTACTTTGATGTCGCAAAGATGAGCCAAGTCCAAGCAATGCACCATGATCGTTGTCATATGGTGCCAGAATGGTACGATAATGTGGTTGACATAATGCTCAATTTCGTAGTCAGAGGACCTGGCCACACAACTAGTTAAGTGCAGCGACGCGTTGAATGGCTCACCCGGGCCTGCCAGAGAAGCGCGCCGCCACATAGTCGAAAGTTTTGATATCCAAATGCATTGATAATCCTAATACACAGATGCCTGATGGCCCTCGAACGCAGCTGCTGGAGGGGTGGAGCGAGAGGTACACAAAGATTTGGCACCTCGTTTACCCCCTCCTCCCATCCTGCTTTTTGCGCGTTTGGGAGCTTTCCTCGGCGAGGTGAGTCTGCCGGCCCCCGCGCCCCGATCCACCACCAAGTCCAAACCAGCGGAGACGAGCTCCTGGTCCCTATCCTTCCTTCCCCCCCTCCTACTCCTTCCCCCTCCCCCCTCCCCCATGGAGACTTTCGCTTGCAGGTTGCCGAACAGCGGATCACCAAGTACCTGCATGTGCGAGTTCGCAGTGCTTCCGTGCCAGTGCGCCGTCCTTCCTTGTCCTTGCCTTAGATGTTGTGTGGCACTTCGTCGGAGGGTAGGCCCGACGTTGCCCCATCAGCCAGACCACTGCTGCTGCTGCACCTTGCCTTGCCTTTGCGCAAACAAAAATATCCCAGTGCGACCCTACCTAGGAATTGGAGCCCCTAGGAAAGCAGCATTAGTAGTAACAGTAAAGCTAAGGTAACGCTAAGCTAAAGCTCAGCTAAAGTTAAGCTAAAGCTAAGCTAAAGCTAAGCTAAAGCTAAGCTACAGCTAAGCTAAAGCTAAGCTAAAGCTGAGCTAAAGCTAAGCTAAAGCTAAGCTACAGCTAAGCTAAAGCTGAGCTAAAGCTAAGCTAAAGCTAAGCTGAAGCTAAGCTGAAGCTAAGGTAACGCTAAGCTAAAGCTAAGCTAAAGCTAAGCTAAAGCGGGGCGGATGCCGGGGGAACCGCCCGGGGCGCATTCCACTGCCCGGCCCTTTAAGCTTACCGAGTAAGAACCCTTCTAGGCAGAGCCTAGGTAGGAAAAAATACGCTGCACCTCGCCTTGCCTTTGCGCAAAAAAATACGCGCCCCCTGCCGTCACAGTGTGAGCGCACCCACTCCGCATCCTGATCCGCAGTCCGATTATGCCAGTGGGCATAATGGTCCAGAATATTCCAGAAGCCCACATGAAAAAGGATTGTAGCGCGTCGCGTGTGGAAAGAGCTGGCGGGCTGAAGGTATGGCATCAATGGGTTGTCCCACAGCAGATTGGCAAATAGGCAAGGGTTTGCACTTGAGCATGTTCAACACCAGTTTCAGTGCTACGATGGAGGAAACAGCTGCCAGATTGACTTGCAGCAGCCTGCAATCCAGAACGATTGCATCGGCACAGCGCTTGCCGCTTGCGGCAGCCTGCAACCCATGGTGGGTGGGTGCATCGGCGCAGCGCGCGTCTCGATCACCCGCGGCCTTCGTCCAGTCCACATCCACGAGTGAAGCTGAGAAGGCAGGCCAGGCTGGAGGCGGGCCAGACGCAGCGCCGACGGCGTGAGGCGTTGGTGCAGACTCGGGCCTTGGAGACACCGGAGCGGCCCCCGCTGGGCGGATGATGGCGGCGCGTCGGCCATGCGCACCTGGCCCCCGGCGCGCGCAGCGCCCGCAGACTGGCGCAGCTGGCCCCCAGCGCCAGCGGCACCGCCGGTGGATTCGTGCACGGGAGCCGCGCGGTGGGCAGCCTGCCTCGGTCGTGGCCGGCGGCGCGGCGGGCGGCCGCGCGCAGGGTCCGGGTCCCAGCGGGCTTCCCTCCAGCGGGCCCGCCTGGGGCCAGCAAGCCCGAGGGGGATCGGCCCCGTGCTTCGCGGGGTGTATTCGGAGCGAACATCATGGGCGTTTGGTCCGTCCGCGGAGGCAGGAGACGCCTCCCGACCGCCCCTGCGCCGCCGACAGGGAAGAGCGAGATGGAGGAGGGAAGGAGAGAGGGAGGGAGGGAGGCAGGGAGAGGGAGGGAGGGAGAAGGAGGGAGGGAGAGGAAGGGAGAGGGAGGCTGGAAGGCAGGCGCAGCGAAGACGAAGCGAGGAGACCTGCCTGGGGGGGGGGCCGACAGGCTTGACTCTGGCAGGCGGCCCAGCAGCCCTCGTGCCAGAGGCCCCTGCTCCAGGGCGGCGGGGATCCCGGCGGGAGGAGCTCGGCGGGAGCGCCCAGTCGGCGGAATGCTCACTTCGGCAGGTTGCCCACTGCCCAGTCCCATGCGAAGGGGGCGGCATGATGCCCAGCCTGAACTGGCCCTCCGCTCAGGAAGGCCCTCTCGGAATGCCAGATGGGATCACTTGTGTGCAACTACCCCCTCGTGAGGGTGTCGTACTTCGCCTTTCTCACTACATCCATGCAGTGACGGGTGTGAGCGGGAGGAGCGGCAAGGGAACGGGCGGTTGAGGGCGGTGCATCAGGCGCGCGCACAGGGGTCGCAGCGGAGGCCGCACGAGGAGGGCGGACATGGAGGAGCAAGGACACGAAGGGCAGCAGCGGGAGAGCGGATGGGGTCGACGCTCACATTGGTTTGCGAAGATGGACCGAGCCAGATGAGCAATTGGTTGGGTCGACTATAAAAGTGCTCCGCTCCAGCGAGCCCGTTCGGTTCGTCACCATGGCCTGGGACCAGATGCGCGCTCTCAGCGTCGCTCAGGACAACGTTGTGAAAGTGTGGGACTTGCAGAGCCGCGAGTGCATCTTCACCCTGGCAAGATCAAACCTCGAGCCGATCCGGACGGTGCGAGTGAGGTGGGAGTCGATGCAGGCCATGGCGGTTCTCTACGATGGTACCGTGGCGATCTGGGACTTCCAGGTCAGAACCGCCCTTTGCTTTGATTTGGCCCAGTTGGGGCGGCTCCCAACAGCAAGCCCCGTGGAGCTGCGCGGAAGCTTGGCATCGCTCGGACGTGTGCATTTTTCCTTCGGCGGTGACCATCGAGGAGCATCCTTGATCATTTGGCGAAAGAACCACGCACGATACCGAGAAAAAAACACAGGGAATGGACGTCCGAGCGATGGCGAGGAAGGCCCAGATGTGTCGCCGCGCCGCCTGCTCCGGCGCGCGGCCTGCCGCCTCGGGGAGGGCGCCGCGCCCACCGGGGCAGAAGCTCCGCCTCGCACGCGAGGGGTCTGCCGTCGGCTCTGCCACGGTGCCCGCCTCGTCCACCTGGGGCGCGGGGCGCAGGGTCTGCCGCAAGGGCGCCCTCGAGGGCGCGAAGTTCTTCGCGCTTCGCGGTTCGGCTTCGATGCCTCCTCCTCCTCCTCCTCCTCCTCCTCCTCCTCCTCCTCCTCCTCCTCCTTCCTCCTCCTCCTCCTCCTCCTCCTCCTCCTCCTCCTCCTCCTCCTCTCCTCCTCCTCCTCCTCCTCCTCCTCCTCCTCTCCTCCTCCTCCTCCTCCCTCCTCCTCCTCCCTCCTCCTCCTCCTCCTCCTCCTCCTCCTCCTCCTCCGGCCTGGCAGGCGGCGCGAGGGCGCGCAGCTGGGCGCACCTCGCGCCCCCGCGCGGCGCGAGGGCGCGCAGCTGGGTGCTCCCCTGGCTGCCGCGGGTCGACCCTCGAAGGAGGCGCGAGCGCCGCGGCGGCGGGTGGTCTCCCGGGGGCCTCCGCGAGGCGGCGGGGGGGCCGTCGGAGGGCGCCGCCCACCCCCGCCTCTGCCGGCGCCCCGCCGCGGGGCCCCGCCTCGTCGGGAGCACCTCCTCCTCCTCCTCCATCCTCCTCCCCCTCCTCCTCCTCCTCCTCCTCCTCCTGCTTCTCCTCCTCCTCCTCCTCCTCCTCCCCCTCCTCCTCCTCCTCCTCCTCCTCCTCCTCGTCGGAGGAGTGGGTTCGGACCTCCCCCGCGGCGGCGGGAGGCCTCGTCTGCCGGGCTCCTCCGACCGCGGGCGCGGCGCGCTCTGTCGCACGCTGGGCTCTTCGGGGTGCGCACCACGCCGTGGTATGTTCTCCCTTGCCTCGTTTATGGGCGTCGCGCTTCGGAGAGAAGAGAGAGCGGCAGAACCATGAGGTGTCGGAGCTCCGCGCGGAGCTCAGGAAGCCTGTGTGCGTGTGTGTATGCAACTGCTTGCTCCTTTAGCCGTCCTCATCGTTCCCTGTTGCCCCTTTGATGGGCAATGGATTTGTTGCGACGTTTCCGCTGCGATTGCCTGCGATCATGGCACTGGGGTTGTCCAGCGAATTTCGGCGAGTCTTTTGCGGCAGTTGTTTGCGGGGTGACTATTTCCTGTATTGTGGTAACGATCACACTCTTCCAAGGCCTGTTCCGCGAATTCGGTTGCTGGCAACGTTTGCCCAAACAGCTTCTCTTTGGGGTCGTATGCGATGCTTCGAAAGCCGGGTGTGGGCTCCTCCAGGTCCAGAAGCGGTGGCCCATATGGCCTCCCACACGGCATCCCGCATGGTCTCCCGTCTGGTTTTCCTCGTGGTCTTCCGTGTGGTCGTGCGTATGCTCTCCCACATGATATCCCGCACGGTCTTCCGCACGGTCCCCCTTTGTGGTATCCAACGGTGCTTCCCGCATGGCCTCGCGTGTGGTCTTCCGCATGGCCTCTGGTCTGGGCCCTCCAAGACAAGCCATTTCAGACCTCCCCCGTGGGAGAACCCTCCAAAACATCGTCCCCAGACCCCCCAGGCCCTCCAAGATAGCCTGGAAGAGACCCCCCACGAAATGAGACCCCCCTCCTTTTATTACGAAATCTGGAGTATGCTCTGCAGTACTCGGCACTCCGTGTAGCACTCTCTCTATCGTGCTCTTCTGCGGTACTCTGAGGAGCTGTTTGGGGCATTCTGCCGCCCAGGGCATAATCCGGTTGGCGGCCTCTGTCCTGAAAGCTTCGACGTCAGCAGCGGATTGAAGCCTCGAATATCGAATGACCTTGGGGGGGCTTCTTATTCGTGACGTCTGCGATGACAGAGTCTGAACGTCGAGCATCCATTCATGCACGAGGCCGCGCATGCGTGCGAAATTCCATTCCGTAATATTTCGGGCGCTCTGGTTCGTGATGGTTCGGCGAGTATCGATCGATATTGCGGAGATGGGTAGAACGGCAATGATGTGTGTGGCTAGCGTTCCCGAGATAGGATTTACAGTGCGTAGCTCGTAGTGTCGCATGGTGGACGTGTTGTTTTTGTCGCATCGCGTCTGACAGGGTGTACCCCTTTCATGGGTGCTTTCCCCTCTTTGCACTGGCATTCCTGCACATTTGTCGTTGCAGCCACGCGTAGCGTTTGACCAGACACTCCAGGTGCTGCGTTGACTCGCAATTTCGATCTCGCTCTTGATCGTGGCCATAATTCGTACTCCTCGATGGCGTACATTATGCTCTTATCTTTTGCACGCACCAGGGTCATTCTTGCTGCTGAACAGAACTTGGCCCCAGGATGCCGACGCCAACTTTGCCACGGTGCCGCTAGGTCGCACTGTGAGGGCGGCGGCGGTGCTATAGACTGTGCGGTTCGCAGTTCCAGTGGGCTGCCAACAATCTTGAGCTCTTGGCCTCAGCATCGACCTCCTTCGCTCGCTCACTATGTACGAACGCGAGCTCCTTATACGTACCCAATCCTGAACAGTCCCTGCCCCCCCCCGTATTGGTGGCAGCCCGGCCTCGCTGACGACTGATTCCCTGAGCGTCCGTGCGCACATGACCGTGAAAGCGAGTTGCCGAAGCAAGGCATGTACATGCACGATCGGGGTGGAGCGAAGAGGGGCAGATGCGTGAATTTACTAAGTTTGCAGTAGAGTCGCATTGCGAAATGCACTCGGACTAGGAACGATGAATCGCGCTCATCAGCGCTCATGGTCGATACCAGTCGCTGTGGTTGCACATTTGACGACGTGACTTCACCCCTCCTCTGCCATCCTACCATCCAAGAAGTCGCGTTCCCTCCCTCAGTGTTCCATGCATTGCTCTCCTCCCTTCTCCGCGGCCACTGCCCCTCCTCTCGCTCCTCTTCTCTTCGCGCCCGCGTGCCCCGTGATCCTCCACGAGAGTCCGGCTGAGCGCGGCTCAGAAAGGCTCCGACGGCACGGCCACGATGACGGGTCTCCTGCACCCGTCAAAGGCGACAGTTGGGAGGGGCAGCAGGAGGAGGAGAAAGAAGGAGGAGGAGGAGAAGGAGGAGGAGAGAAGAGGACGGAAGAGTGAGGAGGAGGAGGAGGAGGAGGGAGGAGAAGGAGGAGGAGGAGTAGGAGGAGGAGGAGGAGGAGGAGGAGGGAGGAGGAGAAGAAGGGAGGAGGGAGGAGGAGGAGGAGGAGGAGGAGGAGGAGGAGAGGAGGAGAGGAGGAGGAGAAGGGAGGAGGAGGAGGAAGGAGGAGGAGGAGGAGGAGGAGGAGGAGGAGGAGGAGGAGGAGGAGGAGGAAGGGGAGAGGAGAGGGGAGGAGGAGGAGAGGAGGAGGAGGAGGAGGAGGAGGAGGAGGAGAGGGGAGGAGGAGAGGGAGGAGGAGGAGGAGGAGGAGGAGGAGGAGAGGAGGAGGAGGAGGAGAGGAGGGAGGAAGGAGGAGGAGAGAAGGATGATGATGATGATGATGAGGAGGAGGAGGAGGAGGAGGAGGAGGAGGAGGAGGGAGAAGAGAGGGCGGCAGGGGCCGGGGAAGGCCGCAGAGGGCGCCGCGCTTTGCCTCCGAGCGCCGGCCCCGCCCCGCCCCCGCCAGGACGGCCAGTAGCCTGCCTTCGGTCCGATCGAGGACCGCGGCGAGGGCGGGGGCCCGGGAGAGGAAGAGGGGCTCCCTCGTCGGCCCTCCTAAATCCCCCTCCTCCTCGCCCTCCTCCTCCTCCCCCTCCTCCCTCCTCCTCCTCCTTCTTCTCCTTCCCCTCCTCCTCCTCCTCCTCCTCCTCCTCCTCCTCCTCCTCCTCCTCCTCCTCTCCGAGTGGCGTTGGGCTGCCTTGAAGACTCAGCGGAGGCTTGACCACAACCGCCCGCATGCACGTCCTAGTGCCCCGCACGTGCGTCTTCGGCTGCCCACGGGCCGCAGACGCCTTTCCTTACTACCTCTCCTGTCCTCGCATCCTGAGCCTCCGTTGTTTCCCTGACACGCCTCTCCTCCGCACGACACTCACATCCTGGGGCCTGGGCCCCGACGCTGCGTACAGCACTGCGTACAGCCGACTCCCGAAGGCATGGCCTCGGCGAGCGCAGCTGCCCGCGCCCTCGTTTGGCGCTAATCGGAAGACTTGAGCCTCCTCGGGGTACCCGAACCCTTCCTCCACCTCCTCCTCATCATCAGCATCATCATCGTCGTCAGCAGCAGCAGCAGCTTATTATTATTATACTTCCTCTTCCTCATCATCATCATCATCATCATCAGCATCATCATCATCATCATCATCATCATCATCATCATCATCATCATCATCATCATCATCATCATTATCATCACCATCATCATCATCACCATCACCATCACCATCATCATCATCGTCATCGTCATCGTCATCGTCATCATCATCGTCATCGTCATCGTCGTCATCATCATCATCAGCAGCAGCATTATCAGCATCCTCGTCATCATCGTCATCATCAGCATCAGCATCTTCATCATCATAAGAATCATAATCATCAGCATCATCAGCAGCATCATCAGCAGCATCAGCATCACCACCACCATCATCACCATCATTAGCATTAGCATTAGCATCATCATCACCAGCATCAGCATAATCATCATCAGCAGCATCATCGTCATCATCGTCAGCAGCATCATCATGTTCCTCCCCTCCTTCTCCTCCTCCTCCTCCTCCTCCTCCTCCTCCTCCTCCTCCTCCTCCTCTTCCTTCTCCTCTCCCTTCACCGACCCTCGGTCCACTTCGATCCTCTTCGGTCTGGGACGCGAGCACCGGCGCAGAATGCGCCTGTGCCAGGCTTCCCAGGTGTGGTCAGAGCAGACGGGGTCGAAGGATCGCGCCGCATCGCCGATGCATCGGCGATGCGGCGCGATGCGGAGCCCGATCTTCTCCACGCCGATGGCACCAATGCAGCGCAAACGTCGCCGATGCATCGGCGATGCAGCGGCGATATGGCGCGATCCTCCGACCCCATGCGTTCGGACGTCATGTGGGAGGCCCCCGGTGCTCCAGGCCTCGGGCACTGCTAAAGGGGGTCGTCACTATGCAAGGGACTCACCAGTGCCAGGATCGAGGCTCCAGGATCGAAACTCGATTTTGGGGCCGGCGTGGGGGAGCTCTGGAGTGTCCAGGATCAAGTTCCAAGGTCCAAGTTCGAGGAGGTTTATGGACGTTCAGGGGTCGATGTGAGGGAGTTCTGGAGTGTCCTGGTGGGCCCACTTCCTCGTGGAAATGGCGCTTCCTCAGAAAATTGGCGGCCCCGCCGTGTACAGTCGGCCCAGATTAGCAGGTCGACCCTGCCAGCTCAAGGGTAACCCCTGTGTCCAGTGCCTCGCGGCGCGTGCCCTCTGACACTCCAAATGGCGACGTGGCCTTCGGAAGGGTCTCGTGTCCTCTCTCGCGCGTCCTGTCCAATCAGGTCCGGCTGTGGTGGCCCCCCTTGGCATCGCCTGGGGCCCGGCCGACCAGAGAACCGGGGAGAGCCCGACGGAGGGGGCCGGGTGCTCTTGAGCGGAGGCGGGGCGGCAGAGGTGGGGGCGACGAAGCGTGCACCTGCGTGGCCCGCGGCGGCAGGTCAGAACCCGCTTGGGGCCCCGGCCGCCCTCCCCTCCTCCTCCTCCCTTCTCCTCTCCCTCCTCCTCCTCCTCCTCCTCCCTCCTCCTTACCTCCTCCTCCTCCCTCCTCCTCCTCCTCCTCCTCCTCTCTTCTCCTTCTCCTTCTCCTTCTCCTTTCTCCTCCTCCTCCTCACGTCCACTGTTTCCCCTCCTCCTCTTCATCCTCCTCCTCCACGATCTCCCCACGTCCACTGCCCCCCTCCCCCCCCCTGGCCGCCCGACCGAGAGGGGCAGGCGCCGCCCACTTGGGTCAGCCTTGGGCGTGTCAGACCTGGGTGTGGACACGCTGCTGCGTCGGCGGCGAGGCAGGGGCCGCCTGCGCCGGCGGCAAAAGGCCCAAACGGGGGCGCCGTCAGAGCGCACTGTGCCACTATGCAGGAAGGGGAAAAAGAGGCCGAGGACGCGGGCGAAAGAGGGGGCGGAGGGGAGCGAGCCGCTCAGGGGGACAGGTCACGCCCCGAGCGCGTGGTGCGGCCAGCCCCGCCGGCGGGCCCGCGGCGGCTGCTGCACCAGGGGGCCGGCGGCGGCGGGGCGCAGTGCGAGGGTGAGAACTCCCCGGGTGTGAGGGTGGGGTGTGGACACACACACACACACATATACACACACACATACACACACACACACACACACACACACACACACACGCACACACACACACACACACACACACACACGCACACACACACACACACACACACACACACACACACACGCACACGCAAACCCTCCCTGCGACAGGGGGGGCGAAGGGGGGCGCTGGCTCCCCCTCTTTCCCCCACACACCGGCCTCGCGGGAGGGAGGCCACCACTGACTTGCCTTTGAGGGGAGGCCCACAAAGGAGGGGCTCTCCAGTTTGGCTGCGCCGAGGGCGATGAGATCGATGCAGATCCGCCGCCCTCGGCCAGGACCGCCCTGGGCCCAGGAACGGTGCAGGCGCCCTCCCGGCTTGGCCGGGGGGGCGCACGCACCGCCCGTGGGCCCCGGATGGGCCTGGCCAGCGGCGGTGGCTGTTCATAGATCTCGCCGCCCTCTGACCTGCAGGAGCCCTCCGCCTGGCGACTCGGCAGGGGCGGTGTTTGCTCCCTCGCCCCCCCCTCGGGGGCTGCACGGCCCTCGAGGCGCAGGCCCTCTCCGGCGAGGGCGGGCGGCGAGCGCGCCCCGCCGCTGCTCGGCGCCCGACGCCCGACGAGCCGCGGGGGGCCTCCCCAGGGGGGCCCCCGGGAGGGCCTCGCGAGCTTCGCTCGGTCGGGGGCGTCCGCGAGGGGGGCGATTGGGGGAACAAAAAGCGGCATAGCATAGAAGCTCGGAGGTCCGCGCGGAGTTCTCGGATCGGCGCTGGGCCCCCCTTCCCTGGCGCGCGGAGCGCGCCAGGGGCGGCGCGGGAGGCGCCGCCGGGGGGTCCAGCGCGGATCCGAGAAATCCGCGCGGACCTCCGAGTTTTTATGTTTATGGCACTTTTTGTTCCCCCAGTGATGGCCAGAGCGGAGAGGGGGGGAGAATCATGGCGGGGGCCGCGGGACAGGGGCCCCAGGAGGACCTCGCGAGACTCGCTCGGCCGGGGCGCCCACGAGTCCAGAGCGGGAAGGGAGGGTGATGGCCAGAGCGGGAAGGGGGGGGCGGATCATCATGGCGGGGGCCACGGGATTCCCCCAGATTCCATGGCCCCCTCCCCTCCTTTCAGTACGCCCTGCCCCCCCCCCCCCCCCCTGGGCCGCGAGCGTGCGTTGGGCCATGATCTGCGAACCCTCCCCTCATGGACGTCCCCGAGG